CAATTTACTGTGACCTTGAAATTGACCTTTGACCTACCTTACGAAGAACTTAAATTTGATTGTACCATATATATTTTTTGCAATAGTTTAAAAATTCTTGTTGATTGCATTTTTACAGCTTGTCAAGCACAAAACTGGTGGCTGTGTCCCTTATTTTGTGTATGTGGGGGTCTATACGAATGCGCTTGCTCCAGCTGGTGGTACAATATTCGGAGGCGGTATCGCCTCTCTGATCCTCTAGTCTTTATTACCATTTTATGTATGGCCATTATTTGTATAATGTTTAGTATTTGACAAAATCTGCTTTTTGGATATATTAACTCAATGTTGTGCATATATATTTAGTGGAAGGGCAATGTGTAATTGTTACTGTCATATAGCTATCTCATTTGTACAACTGCATATGCAGTAGAATCATTTTTGTACATTTTGCTAAATGCATTTTTGCTTTTACAATTTAAACTTTAAAATGACAATGAGCTATTTTTGCCAGAAAAGTTTAAAAGGCATTAAAAAAATTTTCTTTACCTAAACATCAATGTCAGCAGTATCTGTTCAATTGAAATTATCAAGTACAGATATCAAATAAAAGCAGAAATATGCATGAACCAATTTGTGTGTGGCTTGTTGTTGTACTGAAATTCTTTGTATCTTTAACCTGTTCTTATTGGTTCATTTCATTGCTCTAAGTCTCTGCTTTCCCCTCTCACCTGTCCTTTTCCATCAAATAGCAAAGGATCGGTTTGCAAAATATGAAACAGTGGTGATTTTTTCTTTAGTACATGGCCATAAAGGTGAAACAAAATTCTTTTGGGGTCAAGGAAAAAGTTCCTTGATTATATTTCAAGTTTCCTTAGTCCAACAGAATTTTACACCTGTGAATCACAATATGGCCATTTACATGAAATAGATTAGAGGCTGACTTCAGGTAAAGAGAATGAAGACACTTTTTCACCTGCATTAATTTTTTTTTTTTTTTTTGTTACCTTATCCTATTTGACAGTGTGCATGTACAATGCTAGTGGTTTTAGTTGCTGCATTACCTCTAATGGGTTTGTTATGATTGTCTCCTAATCTTTCAACACAATAATGCATGTGAATAATTGGTGTGCACATAATATAAGCGGGTGTATTGTAGACTCTTGGTTTAGCAGATTTGTGCCCCTTGTTTGATGTCTTTTATAATTCTAATTTGTCAGTATACATGTGGTTTTTTATTATTGATGGTATTCAGCAAACTGGGGATACATCTGTTAACCAAGCCATTGCATATATTGCAGTATAACTTATATCTTTCTCTATGTCTTAGCTAGAAAAAAATAATTGAACTATAAATGTGATAATTAAAATGCATTGAGAAATGGTTGAGTCACTGAGTTCCTCGTTTTTCTGAATGGGGTCATTGTTATCAGTTATGTTTTATCAATGCATTTTAATGAATTATGACGTCAAATTTATCACTCACGTAATTTTATGAAATTTATTAGTCATTCAGTGAAATTAATATATATATATCCAATTTTTAAAAATCTATTTATGGATATTTGACAGACATTATAATCCAGAAATAGATTTCAAAAAATTGTGCGTTTTATCAATCACATATTAAATCTAATCCTACTACCACAATAATGAGCTCTGCATGACACAAAATCATCTTTTATCTTCTGATTACCCGGTTACTGTGTTGGTTTAACCTATTTTTTCACAAATCACAATCTGTATTCTTCACAACTGTTTTTAACTCTGTGAATTCAGTACAGACAACAATCCACCCACTGTGAGTGCATCAGAGTGTGTAGAGCACCACTGTAGTGAAGACCATAGCAGTTTGCATGGAGTAACAGTTATCAGAGTAGTGTGACTGATATGTGATGCCAAGATATAATGAGTTTGATTCACAGATGTGTTATTTTAATGAGCATGGCATGCAAATATGTGGTAGACACGGCTGTTCATTCATGGTATGCCATATAGCGTAGTTGACTCATAACATGTATGTGTGGTATGTAGTTGGGTATAAATGTGAGATCTTTGTGGTACACCATGGTATGTAATTCAGAACTGGTAAAATGTTATACCTTTACTACACAAGTGTGTTATGATATTGTTATAACATTTGTTGGTATAATGCTATGTTATAACACAATGTATAACCATATAATGCACAAGTGTGGTAAGTTTGATAAATCTTTTGTGCCACACAGTGATGCATATATTTTTGTAGAATAGTGTTGTATGTGTATGTTTGTAGCCCATGTCTAATGTGGTGTAAAAGTCTCCCTTGGTGATTCATTTGTAGGTAACAGTAAAGCACGCAAGATCTTGCTCTCTGTTTATGAAAGTTTGCCCCATGTGTGTTTGGTGTGCATGCATGTTGCAGTATGCCATAAGTGAGTTGGCACATATACTTTATACAATGGCTCACATAAGTTTTTCTCCTGACTGATCCTTGACTGTGTACTAATCCATAAACTAAGTTAATTCCAGCACCCTTTTTAAATAAAATTTTCTTGATAATATTTATCTATAATAGTCTCTGCATAAGGGAAATAGTACTACTAGCATACTGTTCAAAGCTATCAAATCTGACCTCATTTGAAAATGCTGGATAATTTTTAATGAAATTAATAAAAAAAAAATACATAAAATTTATTTTCTTAAGACTTGATGCAGGAAAAAGGTTAAATATTGATTAGTTTCTGTCAGATAAAAAGAATGTAAATGTAATTGATATAAAAAATAAACAGGTATAATTCCAACATCCTTCGCCAGGCAAAAGATTTATTTCTCAACCTAGCAAATCATTTTCATTTTCTAAAGTCAGTTTAAACTAAAACTTTCAGTTCCTGCAAAGGTACTCCAAGGGCCATCCTTTCCTTTACAAGTGGCCCCATCATCCACGGCCCAGCTCCCTTGTGCCATACAAGGGATACCTGCCCCTGCAGTCACGTGGTTCAAGGGGGGTCATCCCCTGGGCTCCGACGCTAAATATCAGATTAAGACCACCAATGAGGTCACCACATTGGTCATCTGCGATGTCCAGCCCAGTGACTGGGCCGAGTACACGCTTAAGGTTGAGAACTCGACTGGTAGAGACAGTTTCAGTGTTGTTCTGGAAACACCTGATGGTGAGCTGAGAGTTTAATGCTGTTTATTGTATATAGGCTGGGGTGATATGTAGTTGCTCTGTCTGTCCGAGTCCTTGCACCAACAAAGTGGAAATATTTATTATATATAGCACAGTTTTGAGTAGTTTTGATAAGGCACAATTGTTTCACAAGTTAATTAGGTGAAATGTTGTTTCACACATTAAAACACTGAAATAAAGATGGTTAAAATACAAATTAGAATTACATCAGATTGACACAATTTAGTTTAGTAAGAGAAACACATTTTGAAGTGTGATTAGTCTTTGAAGCACCAGGTTAGCAGTCTGCTTTATTTTTAGCCCTAAAAACACTTAAGACATTCCTCAGAAGGTCATGACTAGAAATTTATTTTACTGATTTATTTTGAAATCAAATAACTTGATATTTAGATGTGAGATGAAAGATACAAAAAATAACCCATCATTTTCAGCATATTTGTCTGTAATTGAGCTAAAATATTTGATTGCTTCATGTTAAAAATGGCACTGCATGGTCAATTAATCTGTTACTAAAATCAATTTGGTGATTACAAAAAGGATTTTCTCAGTAGTATAGTAATATAACCATTATACTCACTGTTAAGTAAAATATTTTACATATATAACTAAATTTTACAGCTCTAAATATATTTCCCTTTCTCGTGATGACCTGCTCTACCACCCCCATTTCACTTTTCCCTTGAAAACTAGCACACAATATTGCAAGCGGTGATCTGACAAGTGATTATTAGAAAGTGAATGGCACACCTTCAATTAGGAGGTTGTATTTGTTTGTATAGCTGCTGTTTGCCTTGAAATCCTGATCTATGATTGAATAACACTGGTGCTTGCAAAGCAAATAGCCATACAAAGACTGGAGGGTAAATATGTGAGGCACCCTAATTGCACATGGGTGGATAAGTCCTTTTATTTCAAGTGATACTGGGAGAATACTTGAAAGGTCAGAAAGGGGGAATGCACAAATTTACTAAACCTTGACCACACATAAGTTAGCTCCCATTTCCATAAACGCCACACAACCAGGCATGCTTATGAACTGCGGCATATTTTCAGTAAAGGGCCCTTGACGCTTGGACAAGTTTCAATATGGGAAGATATTTGCACGCATTGGATCTTTGCATTCAGGAAGTGTTGATCGTATCACACCCTGGGGTGTAGGAAAAATTTGAACTTAACATGCTTGGTGCCAAGTTAAAGTGTGCTGTGTTAAAACATGGATGTGCATGAGGGGAGAGTTTTAAGTGAGGTGCAAGGTGTTGCATGTGTTACCTATAATGGTGGTGCCCTACCACAGTGCTTAGAATTATGATTGTCCCAACATCTTATTGTCATGTGACACTCAAGACAAGCTTGGTCATAGAGAGCTTGCAATTGGAATTTTGGCATCATGCAAAAATACATGCCAATCATGATGGTAAGTCTGTAAAAAAAAAGCACTTGCGCAATTGATTGTCATGTGTGTTTAATTGGTTTCCTTTTGATAAGTTGTCATGATGCATAAATGTCTGTAATAGAAATTGATTTGCATGATGAAACTGTATTTTATATATGGTTTGCTGACATTTCAGAAAAGGAAAAAGAAGTAGTGGAAGAGAAACCTGAAACTGGTGTAGCTCCAGAGTTTGTTCTCACCATCAAATCAACCAAGGTAAGAAGAACACATGGTACTAAATAATTGCATTTTTGGATTAGCTGATGTGCAATTTTGCAAAACAAGAAAAAATTTCATATTGAGAAATTTCAGTTTACATGGGTTTGACTCATCTTAATTTACGCATGCTTATTCAAAGATGAGCTATTAGTTTTCTTATCATTTAAAAATCTAATTATTTTCATGAAAGGGTAGCAGTTATATATCATGGGTATAACCTCTTCCTTGCACCTGTTATTAAAATGAATACTTAACCCAGTCAGCAAACTGCTAAATGATTGTTACAAACTACAAATGCAAATGTAGTCAGCATTGACCAGAATACTGGCCATAAAATAATCCAGGTAACAGAGGGGCAAACAGCAGACTTCAGCTGCAAGGTAACAGGTGAACCCACCCCAACCCTGCACTGGGTCTACAATGATAAGGAACTGGAAGATGAGGGCCGATTCATGATATTTGAGGAAGAAGAGCACCATCACCTGGAGATTTACGATGTGGTACCAGAGGATGCTGGCACCATCAAGGTCACAGCTGAGAACACAGCTGGGTCGGCTTCCTGCACTGCTACTCTAGATGTAGAAGGTACTGTTGTCCATCTGCAATGTTTGTCACTGGTTCTGCTTCAAAAGCCCCCAGGGCTTTATAACTTTTATATTTTGTTTAATCAAGACAAGATAAATGGGTTAAATGTGGACTCAAAATTTATTGTCGTATAGTTGTCTTGTGATATGATACTAATTTGATATAAGACAGAATTTAAAACATTTTTCAAATTATTTTAATTCCTCCTGTCACACAGCTATGCTTCTCCTTACCACCTTATAGTATGATCCTGTCATTAAATTCATGTGCTGGCCACACCAGTCCCTTTATTTATGCTTTAAGTTAAAAACTTTATTATTCTAGAAAAACCCAAAGATATACCCACTCCTCCCAAGTTCATCGTGAACATTCAGACCACAGATGCCACAGTGGGGGAGCAGGCCAGTCTGAGGTGTCAGGCCAAAGGAGTGCCCACCCCTACACTGGTCTGGTACAAAGATGGACGTGAAATTAGACCTGGAGATAACAGGTGAGGAGGATAAAAGGGAATTGATAAATTAAATTTATTTTTTATTTCTAAATTTGGACTGAAATTTGCTACTTGTTTTGGCAATGAGTTATTTTTTTAATTCAAACCAAATTGGCTGGTTTTATTTTCAATGGATATTCTTATTATTGGTTATACATGTATCTGAAAAAGATGATTATATATTTTGAAAAACAAGTTGGTTTCTTGTCAGATACTCTGTAGCATATTAGAATCTGGAAAACAGTGTGATATTGAGATAAGGGAGTCATTTGAAATTTTTAAGTAACCACCTAAATATCTGTATGGCAGAAATGTTGACTTGTTACTTGATGTCCTTTAGGTACACTATCTCCTATGATGAAGATGGTACCACCACCTTAATGGTGATAGAAGTGGTGAGAGATGTGGCTGGTACATACACCTGTGAGGCCACCAACAAGGCTGGTAAAGATACCACCACGGGAGACCTTAATGTACATGGTAAGTACACATATACTTGAGAGGTACCTGGATATTTTAATAGTTTACTTTTTTTCCATTATCTGTAGTTTTCTTTTGTGTACTTATTAAATTTGATTAGGACTAAAAGTAATTTCAGGGCTACAAGTCTGAATATCCAGTGGGCTGAAACATATTTTTTGTTATTTTTATGTTCCATGTATGATAATTGTTGTTTTTTGCAGAAGTACCTATCCAGGAAGTCCCAGAGGAGGAAGTGGAGGAGATGGTTGCTCCAGTAATAGTGAAGAAACCTGATCAGCTTACTGTCAATGAAAAAGACAGGGCTGAGTTTATATGTAAAATCACTGGCACCCCTGCTCCACAAGGTAAATGGCAATCCTTGAATCAAGTATTATGTCCTGAAATAGTTCACTGTTACAAACAACTCCTTGATTTAGTTAAACTAAAAAAATACCTGCACAAGAAGTAAAGTTGCATTGGTTCTGGAAAGATGTTAGTTTATGCTATTTATTTAGCTGAGAGCAAACTTTTAGGGCGAAAATGGTTGTGAAATGGAAGTTTCTTTTTTCAAAAACACACTTGTCTTGAAAAGGGGGATTTAATTTTTGCTTATAGCTGAAATATGATCTTCTTATACTTCACTTTCATTGTCACCCAAGATTTTTTTTGTATAAAAAGTATTTAAATTTTTCCTTAAATAGTAACTTGGAGCAAAGGAGACGAAGAGCTCACAGACACCAACAAATACCACATAGAAGAGTATGAAGATGTGTACTGTTTTGAGATCAACCAAGCTATAAAAGAAGACACAGGGGATTATACTTGTACTGCTAGAAATCCTGCTGGAGAGGCAACATGCACCATCCCCCTTACTGTCAAAGGTAGGATCTTCATGTCTTAAAAATGTTCTGATTTAGTATTGTAAACAGCATTAACACTAGGACTAATTTAGACCAGAAGTAGACTTAATTGTGTTGCTAGATGTTCCCGGATGACCAGATTACACCAAAGAACCTTACGACATCTAGCAACATCATGTAGCACACTTGAGTCATTTTCTGGTCCAAGTTAATGCTGATGTGAAAGAAGCTATTCTCAGGAGTGAACTCTGCTCTTGTAGTTATAGTGGCTGATTTTGAAAATGGAGTTAATAACTTTGTACTAGGAATCGTGGTTGTTTTGGAAGTGGAAAGACACCATATATCAAGGATTGATGGCAAATTGCATATTTTTTATTGTATTCATATTGTGCTTGAATTCCCTAATATATGGTATCTGAAAATTAGTAATTGCAGTGTTAGCACTGGTATGAAGTGGTTTTTGGCTGAAGCAGAGTGCATTTTTCCTGCTCTCAAAGTCTTGGCATTTTCAGAAACATGATTGTACAATCATCTTATGTATAATTTGGCATTTGGTAATGTTTCTTCAATTAAAAAAGTGAGAATTCATGTGTAGGTTATGCAAGGGAGAAGAAATAGAAATCATTCTTCCAACTTTCTTTGTCTCAGTTCACATCCCTGACACAGAAATATATCCAAAGGAATTTGATATGTGCATTTATAACAGCAGTAGACTCTCTGTACCTGTAGTTGCTAAGATATTATCATATCAGTTTCCTTATTACTTGAATGTAGCCATGATACCATTTCACTGTCTCTTGGAATGTTGAAATTGTAAGATAAAAACTGTATCAGCACAAATTCTTGATCTCACTTTTGAATGCCCAGAAGCAAATGCCTACTCTTGAATGATCCAGTAACAATGTCTTATGCATTGTTGAAACTGATCTGACATCTTTTTTTTCTGGAAAAAGAAAAAAGTTTCATAGTTGAAACATTGAAAAATTAGTTTAATGACATTTTTTGTTTAAATTTATAAAAATATGGAGCACAAATATTTGTAGATTGTAAGATGAAGATGTCAGCACAGGAAGATGGTTTTTGAAATTTTTAAATCCACAGCATTAACTGTATTCTGAACTAAAAGATTCTGAATTTCACTGTTTACATATGAACCTTTTTACAACCTTGGACCCCTAAACTTTACAGCTGTCCCGAGTGAAGAGCTAGAAGAAGTGCCACCCAAGGGTAAGCCTATAGGCTACAAAGGAGACTGGCTTGGTTTTTCTACAGGGTGTGGCATAGGTGCATGCAAACTGGCAAAATGAGTTTTACTTAAATGGTGACAGCAAAAGAGTTTAAAAAATCATGTTGTATCAGGATATGGGAAACGCCTTTATCTGAAATTGTCACATTTAGAATATTGTTTTTTTTTTAATTTCATAAATTATAATGAAAAAGGGTTTCTTTGCTGTCACATGATATCACATTTTGCTAGTAATTTGGCTGAGGTCATGGAAAAAACGAAGGGAGCAAGTAGACTTGTTGATCTTTCTTATTCTACTTTGACCTCAGTAGAGACTAAATAAATGTTGATTTTATTCCAGCAGTGTTTTCTCCCTAAGAGTGGCAGCATGTGTGCACCCTACCCCCATCTTGTCTTGTTTGAAATTACCCCCCACCCCATTCCCCCACTGTATTCCAGCTGAATGTTTGTAGATCTGTTTAAACACGACTATAGACAGTATTTGCTCAAAATATCCTTGTCAGTAACAAAATCATTTATTCAAATTTTTGAAAAGCTGAATGCTCTAATTTCTTATTTTTATTTATCATTTTGTTATATTTTTTGCTGGTTATCCAGAGTTTATATGGGCACAGTGTTATGTTGAGAAGGATATTTTGCTGCTTTGGGTTGTTTAAAAGCTGTTGTTTAGCAAAAAGCATGAAAGACCATTTGTTTTTCAGATGTTTTTGAAATTTACATGTATATCTACAGATGTTGATATTTGCCTACAATTGTCAAAGGCCGCATTCAGTTTTAGCAGTTTCAGTCCTTACATAAGAAAGATATTTTTATTGTACCCCTTTGAGTCAAGCAGTGAGTAGAATGAGACTTGCACAGGATTGCACATGGATTACCTGCTTGCAATTGGCAAGTCTAAGCAATTGCTTTTTTGCTGGGGTAAAACAAAAACACATTTTGTAAAAACTGCCCTGAATGCGGTCATGTATTTTATTTGGTTGCTTACAATACTGTTAGCTAAATGCATGAATTGTTTCTCAACAACCTAGCTTGGTTTTCTTCTTGTTATCCATCATGTGTGTTTTGGCTAGATAGTTTGTCGTTAGAAACTAGAATTTAGGGAATTATATCGGGCATATTAGATATACATAGGATAGAAGTAATAAATACTGTTAGAATGACATTTTAGTATAATGGGATTTTGTTAATCTTTTCTTCCCTTATACCCTTTTGGTTGCTTGTGACTTCTGTACATAAATTATATCTTTATACATTATTGAACTGTAATGATAGTTTTAGTGTGTATCTGTCCAATTTTTCTATTTATCTTGTCATGTGGCCAATAATTTATTATATCAATATATTTGAATTGGTATACATATATAAAATAAAATAAAATTCTGCATTATTTAGAACTATTCTTGTTTAGTATCTTTCAATGTCCCTTCCTTTAAAAGCTTTACAGTAAACTTTTAAACTGAGGGACAATTATATGATGCATTTTGATTTCCATTCTCCATTGCTTTACACTTTTGATACTTTCCACTATTTTCATGACACTGCTATGAGCATACAAGGGTGAGTCCCTTTACACTATGGCTTACATTGCTCTCAAATATTATGAATGTTGTGCTTTTCCCATGCCTACCTGAAACTGTTTGTTGCAGCTCTTAATTTTTCTTTATTCTCTCCTCAGTCCCTGAGAAGGAGGAAGATCTGTCCAAGTCGCCATTGGTACTCAGACATGCAGAACAGACCAAAGCTCCAGAGTTCTCTCAGACTTTACAAGATGTGGTAAGGGTGTTATTTTCTTTTTTTAAAATATTTACCACTGTTATTGTATTTCTGGATTATTATTATTTTTATCACATAAATTATTTTAATAATATATTAAAATTGTTGCTACTTTGTAGAATATATATGTGACAATATATTAGTATTTTGAACAATATTTGAACAATAATTAGTTTATTGAAATAGTCCCTTGAAAAACGAAAATTTAAAGTTAAATTGTGATACATAGATATCAAGTTCTTCTTCTTCATCTAATATATATCTTAATTGTTTTCCAAATGTATTGTTTAATTATGTTGGATTTAACAAATTAAATTGTATTATTTTATATTCTAGATCCTAATGGAAGGAGATCAACTTGAGCTGCAGTGTGCAGTGAGTGGTGTACCTAGACCAGAGGTGGCATGGGACAGGTAGGCTAGGATTTTATAGCATTACTATCATATTATTGCTGCCTTTTGTTGTGCATGGATTGTGGTAATTACTCAATCTTTTCAATTGGTTGAAAATTATCAAACTTATTTACATAATTTTGTAATCATGCTACCATTTAGTAGGAATGTTTTATTTTTAAAAATCATGACAAAAACAGTATATATAAAATTCACAACTTTACCCCAGAGTAAAGATCGAGTAATTGCCATAAAAGTGATTTCTTTGTGATAAATTTATGTTTCTTACAAGGACATTTTAAGTGATGAATAGATGGTGGATGGGCAGGCGAGCAGACTTGAATAGTTGCTTGTTCACCAGTTTGCCAATGTAATCTGCTCTGGAAACATTTCTTGCAAGAAATATCCAGTTAGGCAATCAGATAGATACAGAGTATTGTAATCTTTTTTGCTCCTGGCAGGGCTGGCAAGACTCTTGTTCCCACCAAAGTAATGTCCATCTCACATGAAGAGGACATGTGCACTCTAACCATCAGTGAGGTCACAGTTGACCAGGCTGGACAGTACACATGCACAGCAGTCAACTCTGCAGGCAAGGCCATATGTACATCAGAGGTCAGAGTACAGGGTAAGGGCTCTTTGTATGGCAAGAGATATCAGTCTTTTCCAAGGTTTCAGTTTGATATTCTGGAAACAGTTTTAAGAAAAGATGAGCAAATTGCCAAGGAAAATGGTCTGCATGTGAATATGGATTAAAAAAAAAACATTTGTTATGGTAAATGTCAATTTTATTAGTTTAAACACAATTGGGATGTTTGGAATTTATTGGTTCATTTATCGGTTCTCACTTTTCAGAGAGACCAGAGGCTCCTGAGTTTGTGCGTCCACTGGAAAAGAGAGTGGTCAAAGAAGGCAAGCAGGTCAAGATGGACTGTGCTGTGAAGGGAAAACCAACACCAGAGATCACGTGGTGAGTAAATCTCTGGGTTATGTTTTAGAATGGCAAGAGGCAGTTAACATCTCAAGGGATTTGGAGCGTAATAGAGTGTTTGGTAAATTCTTCCTTTCATCTCAGAATGGTTTTATTTTATAGACTTATTTGATCAAGTAGTGATACTCCTTCAGATAAACATGCAAAAAAGTACCTTGGCTTATTGCAAAAAAAAAAAAAATTATGAATACAAACACGCCACACCAGGTTGTGACTTGTATGAATAAGTATTGAAGAGAAATGATTTCGTAGATTTTAGATGTTGAATTCAGTCCATTTGTGCAATTCCAAAAATGTTTACAGGTTGCTCAATGATACACCCATTGAAGCTTCCAAGAGGGTTGTCCTTGACAAACGCCTCACTGATGAAGAGACTGTTCTTACTATGACAATTAATGAGGCAGTCCTGAAGGATTCTGGGACAGTGTATGTCACTGCCGTCAACCCTGCTGGAGAAGTGAAGACATCTGCAGAATTGATTGTTGAAGGTAGGTTATATCTTTGTATTGCATTTCGTTTTATGGCTGGAGTATGGGTTGAAGGTTTTATTGTTGCTACACCACCTTTTGCACAGTTTGTAGTTGAATTTACACAAAAATGTGCGCTGACTGCAGTGGCACTTAGTTTTAATTAGATGGTTTTAACAGACACACAAAGCATAGGTAATGCAAAGGCCAAACATGACTTTTATAAGCATTTTGTCTTATGGAAGAATTGTTTGTTTATACTTCTATTTCTGTGCCATTCTGGCTTAGACCACTTTGTGTAAGGATACATTTCACAGTCTTTTGCTTTCCTGTGATATCTTTCTCCCTTCTTAAAACATCTCCACCGTTTGATATCCAAGAAAAAGAGATGAAATGTAAGAATCTGCCATCTTAATTGATCAAGATAATTAGTGGCAGTAAATTGTATGAGTTGGATAATGTTGGGAGGCAAGTACTGTGAAATGTTAGAGACAAGGTTTTATTGTGATAGTTGGTGCACATGCACATTTTACTGTTTGCTGATATTAGAAAATAGAATTTTCACCACTGTGAATAGGTTGTAATAGGTAGCAACCTACATTGTTGCTGACTGCTGACAGTTTCAGAACATTTTCCACAAGTGTGTATATTGGCCATTTTGTTGCTAGACCAATTATAGGGGTTTACATTTACCAGTTTAGTGTAGTTTTGAGCTTTTACTATAGTACGTAATACACTGGAATGAAATGTTGAGATTTAGTGCACTTTAAATCATCTAACATTCTATTCTATTCATTCTGAATCTCTTAGATAGAGTTGTAGTATTCTGTATGTATTGTGGTCAAGGTGTCTTCAGAGCCCAGCTTAAGCTGGAAATAGTCAAACAGGCCTCGTCATAGTCAGTTTACACCATCTTACCAGCTAGGTTAAAATCCAATATGACAACTGAGAGTGACTTTGCCGGACTAAGGGGTGCATTCCCAATGAAACTATTGTTCCATGTAGATCGATCTTACTCTGCAGGTACTCTTGCTGAATGCTGTCAGATTAACTGGATGACATGCCTCCTTAAGCAGCTAGGGGGTGATTAACATTGATTTTCATTTGGTCATTCTCAAAATTAATTGAATTAGCTTCCAAAAGTCAAGCTAACATGAAAATTTATCACCCCCTAGCTGCTCAAGTAGACATGTCATTCATTTAATCTGAATGCATTCAGCAAGAGTCCATGCAGAGTTGGATGGATCTACATAGAAATAATTTCATAGGGAATGCGCCTATAGGTTGCTTATAATGATAAGTTTCTAAGGTCTAGTGAGGTCCACGTCATGGTGAAGGTAGTTTGACTATTTTTCAGTTTTAAAAGCAGGGTTGAGTTCTGAATGTGCCCTCAAGACCAATTTCTAGTACAGGTGTGATGGTTTAACGTGCTAATGGAAATAGGGGTAATAATTGATTTGTGCAGTTTGATAGTACATACTAATTTAAGCAAAACAAGTGTACTGGAAACAGGCTTGAGATTATGCATCTCTTAGTATCACTAGTCTCGCTCTTTCTTCACCTCTGTGTTCACTCTTTGTGCACTTTCTGTATTTATAGCTGCAGAAATTGGTGAGTAGGAAAAGTCTTTACGCATGCTTTTTTACTAACCAATGTGCTATGATGCTGTGAAAAATTGATAATTTCAAGAGTTCCAGCAAATGAGATAAGTCTCAATATAACAATAAGAATTGCTGTTATGATGAAATATAACACTTATTAATATCTTACTCTGAAATGACAACATTAGTTGATTCAGAAATAAAAACCATCAAAAAAAGTTAAAGGGATAATAACTCTTCGTTTTGGCAAAAAAATGAATTTTCCTGGAGTAAACAACAATTTTCCCATACTCAATAATGGTTAATGAATCCATTTTTAGATTCAAAGATAGTCCCTGGTTTTTTCTAAAAAGTTTTTTTTTTTTTTTTTTTGTTATAATCTCTTAAGAGATTATAACAGAGTATAGCCATCAATGTAGGTCATGCAGTCTAAAGACAAGCTCAGATATCAGAATAATAGCTATAACTGCAGTTTTTGTTGTACAACAGAATATATTATATTTCTATGAGTTGTTCATAATGTTTTGATTGTGAAATATAGATCTTATACAGAGAGTTATTATCCCTTTAAGTAGGTATTGTTTATTGTTCAAAGTTAAGAATGCATTTCTTAACTAGAACTGATGTTTTATGTATAATTTGCTTTTGTAGATGTCTGTAAAAAGTCTGTTACAAGTGTGGGGAACTTTTCTCTTTTGATTAAAAATAAAAATAAGTGATGTGCAAAATCCATTCAAGTAGTCACATACTGTAACAGATTGCTTTTATGATATAAACCCTATGATTTTTAAACTGAAGATTCTCACAACTTAAATCTCTATACATCATTTTATTTCTGCTGTATATGTACATTTATACTCATAATATATCCATAACGTTAAAATGCTAATCACTTAACATAGGAAACACCTTGCTACCAAGATGCAACATGCATATAATGTAATTTTTGTATATATGACATGTACTTTGATATGCTTCACTTGACCACCCTTCAAAGGGGCCTATTTTGACATTGTCCAGATGGACATTGGGATAACAATCAAGAGCAAACTGAATAGACAGGTGTTGCATAATTCTATGAATTCCACTTTTAATAATAAGATAAGAATGGGAAACCACATAGTCTCATGCTCCTTTACCTTATAATAGTGTGCATTTGTATTATATATGCAATGACTAGCATTGGGAACCTACGTGTATACATTGAATATCGAAATTTGTTGGAGGCTTTTCATAGTGTATATTGGTTTGCAGGGTGTTTTACATTTAAGTAAGTTAACACAGTGTCTCATTATTAAAATACTTATTTATTATTTATGTACATGTATGTAGATGTTTAATGGTTTGATTTTAATTTGAGTTGTAATGTACACATTTTTAGATGTTCATAACATATCTGTTTCATTGTTTTAACTTTGCTCGTACCAAATAGGATCACAGGTATATGTACAGGTTGATCAGCTCAATGTTTTAACACTGTTTTGTGTGTTGTATTATGCTATTGTTGTGTACTTTTTTTAGTCAGTGTGTAAAGCGAAAACTGATGCATAGGAGTAATATAATATTTTGGATTGGTTTTTAAATACATTGTAATATCTGATAAGGATAGTCTATTGATAATCAGTATTTACTCAAAGAAATCTTGCCATATTTGTGATTGTGAATCTAATGCAAATATTTGAAACCATCATCTTTTTTATTATGATTATTATTATTCATCTAGAATTTTAAATCCATATATATATTTTTTTTTCTTCTTTTAACCTTACAGTAAAGAAAGAGGCCCCTAAGATCACCAGGCAACCAGAGAATGTTGAGACATTTGAGTTTAATACAGTAACATTTGAGTGTTCAGTTACTGGCAAGCCTGAGCCTGAGGTGATATGGTAAGTTGAAGAAAAAAAGAATACAAAAAGTTAGTGTTAGAAATTAACACTTAAATCATAAAAGATGCCTAATGAAAGGATAAGATAATTTGTATTGTTTTTTATTTTAGAAAAGCGCTAGTGGAGGAAAACCCCATTATTTTATTTTGACATGAAATGTGTTTTGAACTAATTCTCTTTCAAAATAATATTATTCATATATTTCATATCTATTAGGTTGAAAGGCAATACACAGCTAGTGGAATCTGATAGAATACATATAACTGCTGAGGAAGGCAAACATACACTGACCATGGACAAGGTTACTACTGCTGATGGAGGAATTATTAACGTGAAAGTGTCCAGTCCTGCAGGACAACAGTCTGCCACTGCAAAATTGAGAGTCACTCGTAAGTTGCCTTTTTCTGTTTTAGTAAATTGTTAAGATTATGGTTACTGTATGCGATTGAATCCTTTTTTATCAGCTTCTAATTGCTCTGGTATGAATTCTTTTTTTAGTTTCTAGCATTGTATTAATCCAGCTTTAAACATTTTATAACATAATTGGAAGTTTAAAATTTTATTTTATGCATAAAACAACCAATAACTAGAAAAGCACTCAGAGAGGGCAGACCTCCACCAAGGCAGTAAAGTCTCCATCCAATGCCGTTTCACCCCTAAATTTTTGGTATTTTTGATTTTTGATTATTGATTGATTATTGATCCGGATCACCACCAAAAACTAATCATCTATTCCTTGGCCCACTTCTGACAATTCCTGAAAATTTCATCAAAATCGGACCATAATTTAGTTTTTTTATTATTGATTATTGATTGATTATTGATCCGAATCACCACCAAAAACTAATCATCTCTTCCTTGGCCCTTTTGTGACAGTTCCTGAAAATTTCAACAAAATCAGTCCATAACTTTTTGAGTTATGTTGATGACAGACAAACAAACAAACAAACAGGAGTGAAAACATAACCTTGGCAGAAGTAAAAATTTAATGTCATGATCAAGAGTGAATTTCCAAAATGAATGACAATATATAGTAAGGAGTTCTTTTTCTTTCAGCTGTGAAACCAGCAAAGATCATTGAGAAACCAAAAGATACCACAGTGCCCGAACATGGAACAGCCAAGTTTACCAGCAAAATTACTGGCACACCAGTACCTACTGTTACTTGGTCAGTTCTATTACAAAATTATGCATGATTATAAATAATATTAACTTAAAGTGTTTGAGTTTTTTACTTGCCTTTCATATTACCATGCACCTGTTGATAATTTCCTCAAAGCAGCAAGTTCATTATTATTACATATTTTCATGCCTGTCCAGAATTTTAATCCTGCCTCTCTGTTCCAACAATTTCCTACAGTAAATAACTGGCATAATGCCTTCACTTCAGGTTCCTAAATGACCAAGAACTACAGCCCAGTGAGACAGTTCACACTGACTTCATTAAGAAGGATAACACTTTTACTCTCACCATTGACGACTGCATGCCAGACAAGATGGGACCAGTGAAAGTTGTGGCCAAGAACAATGGTGGCGATGTCTCAGCTGAGTGTAAGCTAACAGTGGAAGGCAGAGCGCCATCTTTTGTTCAAAAACCCATCAAGTGCACTGTCATGGAGGGCAGCACTGCTGTCTTCCGTTGCAGAATTGATGGTGAGCCCATGCCCACTGTGCAGTGGTCTAAAGGAAAATGGAAGAAGTTTACTCATGGAGGCAAAGTGAAGGTTTACCGTGATGAGGAGACTGATGAACAAGTCTTGGAGATTGAAAGTATTACCAGTAAAGATGCTGGGACATATACTGTCACACTAAAGAATGATAAGGGAGTTGAAGAGTGCTCAGCTACTCTAATTGTCACCGATGACTCAGAGGCTATGGAAGACTGGAGGGCTCAGCTCAAACATATGTAAGTAGTGTTATCGTTTGGCAATTTTCATAGTAGCTTTCCCCAAATAATTGTGTAAGATTTACTTACTTTACCTTCTATGCATCTTGGAGCATAGGCCACTTATAGACCATATGCCTGCTCTGATTTGCCTCTGGGAGAGTGGACCCTTGATTCCATGCTCCTTTGGGGGAGTAGACCTTTGATTCTGTTTTCCTTCTGGAAAACCATTCTAAGTGATAAGGAAAACAAGTGATCCCCATAGTGAAATAGATACTCAAAATGTCTATTCTGCCAGAAATAAGATTGTTTTAATAATCTCAGAAGGGTTTTATTTTAGTTATTTTCATCCACTATGCAGTGGTGTATGTGGTGCAAGATAAAAAAAAAATGCTAACAGGGTTTATAAAAAAGAATGACCCAGAAATATGTTAATATGCTTCAGATCATGATAAATACCAATACATTGCTTATCACTTTTGAAGCTCAACTGAGGAAGTCACTGGTCCAGAAGTGGAGGAAATAGACTGGCAAGTCCAGCTCAAACCTACTCAATCTCCAGAAGAACAGGGTGCTGAGGACGAGGGTGTGACAGTGCCCCTTCGCCATGTCTCATCAGAGGAGAAAGAGGAAGAGGAGGAGGAGAAGGAAAAGCCAGAGGAGGTAAGTAGCATTAAAGTATTAGCTAGAACAATAAAATGGAATGTTTTAAATGTAAAATATAAAAAAAATTGTTGTACACAAAAATTTATAAATAATTTATGTCCCAAAAAGATTACAAAAAAAAAAAGAATTAATATGTGTACTAGGCCATAGATTTACATTGGATAAAAATAAATATTTTTAATATATTTATGTTGAAATATTTTTGAAAATCCCAGAAATATCTGTTAGAATTAGAAATGTATTTTAATAGGTAAATATAAATCATATGAAAATATTACTCGTCCAGGTTGAATACAAACCTGAAGACATCACAGTTCAGCTTCCTGAGCGTGAGAAAGTGGAGTTGGAGCCAATGCCAGAGAAGGTAAAGCCAGAGAAAGCTCCCTCTGAACCAAAGGAGGAGGAGAAGGAAAAATATGAGAGGAAACCCAAAGAGGTCACAACTCAGGAAGAAGAGGCAATCACTCTAGAAATTCCTAAAGTCACGGTAATATATTAGATCTGGATTTTGGTATATTTCAACTTGAAGGTTGAAAACTTGTCATTTTTTTGCATATTTTGTTTTTTTAATTATGTTTAAGGCTAATCATATTTCACCGTTTTGCTTTTGTGCATTGTTTTTTTCTTTTTTTTTTTTTGTAATATGTAAATCTCAGCTGTTCTTTTCCCATGTAGTTAATACTTATGTGTTTTGACAATTTTAATTTTATGCCAACAATTTTTGTTTTTATTTTTCTAGGTTCTTATATTATTATGGTATCAGTTTTATTTGTTGAATTTATGAATATTATTTTGACCTTTTACATAAAGATTATAAAAGTTTCAAATTGAGAGCCATCTTATATTTCGAAATTTTTGCTGAATTAAATGTGCTCTGTTATAGTGGGAATTCATTAAGGAACTGGAAGATGTCACTGTCAAAGAGAAGGGGGTGGCTCAGTTTGAATGTGCGGTCACAGTTCAAAATGCTGCAGTCCAGTGGTACATTGATGATAATGAGGTAGCCCGTAGCCCCAAGTTTGAAGTCCAGGTGGATGGCCAGACACACAAGTTGACCATCAGTAATGTTCGGCCACAGGACAGTGGACAGGTCACCTGCAAGTTTGGGGACCTTGTTTCCAGGGCTAACCTGGTGGTAGAAGGTAGGAGTGTAACTCTGTTTAAGTCAATGACAGTTTTTGTGTCTTTTCAATAAGCAAAGTTTGTGCAGTTTGGAAGTTGTCTTAAACATTTTACAAGGTTAATATGAATGTCCTGTGTAGTAAAATCTTGTCATCAAACAATTCATAATCCTCAGTATGTATTATGATGAATCATTGGTCTCTAAACTGCACAAATGTTTAATTTAAAGAATAAGTGAGTGATGATTAAAAAGGACCAAACAGTATTAAGCAAGATAATTGAGCTAGGATGTAGATATATGGTGGTGGTAAGTACATAAGAAATAAAGCATGCTAAAATGCATGAGGTTGATTCACAATGATTAACAGAACATTGATCATAAAAGCATGGGAATCAGGGAGTAGAATATACTTAATAATCAGGAGATTAACATAAATAACAGCTGCTTTGCTAAGGTAAGTGACATCAGAAGAACCATCATGTTTGCTCTATAAAGGAAAAATTGGCTGATTCGAGATAAAGGACAAAATTGTCATGATTCGAGAACTCAAATTTGTTTTTGTATTTTAAAGCATGCCAGTGTGCTGCCATATCATCCTTTCTTCAGAGCACAGTATAGCATGGTGTTTATTCTGATAATCTATTTAACAAAAAGACCAGATTTATGCTAGTTTGAATCATTGATGGAAAGCTTAACCATAATGCTTAATAGTTTAGAGTAATACTACTAACTGTGTTGCTTAAGCCATCTTATCAGATTTTGCTTAGTTTATTCTTTAGTAATTGATAAACCCAGCTAGCAGTTACTAACCGCTTAAAAATCTACTACCTTCTGCTGTTAACTTGTTTAACATAAAAAGGCATGCTTGGTTATTCTTTGAAAGTAAAATAGTTACTTTATGACATAGAAAAAGCGTAACAAAATAAGCCAGAACAAGGGGATGGTAGGTGGTTCATAACAGCACCAGGCAGGCAAGGTGGCGGTAGTAACTGTTCAGTCAAAATGCAGTTTGGTTGCAGCTATATAAATGTGCGGGTTTTGTTTCTTTAACCAATACCAGGTGGTGCCACTGATGCGGTTGATGGTAACGCAGCATGCTATCAGGAGCCGCTGGTGTTTGATTTAAATCTCAACACAAGTATGGACTTATGTGATTTAACATCTGGTGGCATGCCAAATAAGGATGTGGAGGTTCAAGAGCCAAATATTATTCCAGTAATAAGGGGTATAAAGGAAGATCAAGTGGCGCAGGAGCTTTCTTACATAACACGTCCACTGACAATTGAAACAAGCAGTAGAGCTGATAAGGGAAAGGCTTCTAGGGCTGCTACTGCTGCTGCTGTTGCTGCTACTACTGGTGGTGATAACCGCGAGCTAGATGTGTGTATGTCTGACTCAAGTGTAGATTTAGATAGCCCTGAGGCTGTGCGTAAAGAGGTTTTGGTGAACTCTAAAGAGTTTCAGGGTTTTTACATGTCAATGATTCCTTCCCGTACTTCCTTAGATGTGGTGGAAGAGCTTTCCCATGAAGAGGATGATACAGAATCCAAGAAAACACCCAGCATTGGTGGTGGTGATGACAGCAACACTGATCTCACCAGTGATGATGATTTTGATGATTCCAAAAGCTTTGAAGATGATGTGCCAGATATGGATGATGATGAAAGGCGACCCAGTGCTCTAGAACACTACTATGAGCACATTGTTCCTAGTCAATCTCCAGAAAATTACTATGAAAGGCTTAGACCTTATGGAAGAACAACTTCAGAACTCTCAACCACATCTGCTGATTATGAGATCTATGATTGTGCACAAGAAGTATTTGTGTATGATGATTTAAAAGATAAACAGTTAGACTGGGAAGATGGAGATGAAAGGCAGCATAGAGGAAGTAGAGCAAGCTCCGAATCTGATGCTGAACCTCTTGGTGAGCCACAGCTTCCAGACTATGACTCAGCAGAATCGTCTGACAGTGACCTAGAAACCAGTGCTGCATCCATGGCAACAGTGGTGGAGAAAGAACCAGTGCAATCACCAGAAACGGACCTATCTGCTGGGGTCCTTATCATACACGAAGTCTCCAGACAACAGGTGTCACCACAAATGATGCGTTCTGAGTTTAACATCAGTAGTGTGACCCAGGAATCTAGGGAGGCCAAAGCAATGAGTTTTGAAGGGTTAGTACCTCTTGTCCATGTCCACCTACAGAAAGAAGCAGCTATGCAGGTTCAAAGTGATGATGCCAATGATGGATGTTCTGAGGTTAACCATGAAGAGGAAATTCAAGACAATGAAGCACTAGATAATTCCCAACCTGATGAACAACCAAGTCTACAGATTCAAACTGAATCAATCTTTGTTCCTCCAACTCTAGATTCTACTAATCGACCACGTCAGCTGGGTCCAATTCGAGTCATTGGACATTCACCAGAAGTTGTGGTTATGAACACTTCTCCAACTAAAGAAAAACCGTTTCCACTGAAAGACATTATTGGAGCAGCTCTACAACATAAAGCTGCTGATGATAAAGGTTCCTTAAAAGAGACTGAGAAAATGAACTTGCCCCAGCGTCAGGAAACTGCTGAATCAGATGGCAGTGAGTCTAGTGGAACATCTGCAGATACAGTGAAAGAAGGAAAGTCATGGCCCATGCAGGCAGATACATATACTGAAGAGACACTTTCATTTGATATTCATGAATATGGGCGTCATAGAAAAAATACAACCTTATCTTCTTCACCTTGGCTTGATGTTACAACACAAGGGCCAGTGGAAGAGGAGGAGGAAGAGATTGTGGAGGAGGAGATCAAAGTCACTTACACCCAAAGAAATTCTCCCATCAAACCTCTATCACCTGTTTCAAGGGGAGAAAATAAACACAAAGACAAACAAACTTTGTGGAAAGAAAACAATATTCTCCACACATCTACAGATGACAATTCTCAATACAAACATGGTACCACAAGTGGTCTAGATAAAAGTCATGAAACAGTCTTGGAAACCAGTGCAAGTGTGAGGAGAAATGAGCTCTCTATTGCATTGAATGAAGTGAATTTACCTTCAGCTGAATCAGATGATCCATTAGCTATATTAGAGATGATGGAGGATGAATCTACTGTGGTAACCATCGATAACAGAGGAATCTCAGTCAGATTGTCAGACAAAGAATCAAAGGTGGAATTTCATGAGGAAAGTTCCTCATCAAATTATCAGCAAGATACCCTGGAGTTAACTATAAGAAAACAGGAGCCGTCACCAGGAAAAAGCTATGACACCAATTTCACTGTGATTACTGTACCAGATGGGAAAGGTTTGAGGGCTGGGAGGGTGAAAAAAAGTGGTGCTGTTTCTCAACCACCCGTGTTTGAAATTGATGAAGATGTTAAGGAAAATGTAGTTGATTCAGAGTCTGAGTCTGACTCCTCTTCCTCTTGTGGTAGTTATGAGGCTGAACCTTCTTTTACAATTCAACGTAAAATTGAGAAGATAACGGAGGAAGATGAGGAAGAACAAGAAAGGGACCTTGTAGAAGAATGTGATGATCAGCTGAAAGAACACATTAGTATGAAACACTTCAGACCTATTGAATCTACAGGTCAAACTCAACAACAGCAGGAAAGGGATGAAAAAGTAAGCCCTGATGCTTTAATCCCAGTGCAGGAACCTGTCGCCATTGGCTCAGATGAAATGTCTGCTGAAGAATTATCTCTTCTACAGAAGATAGCACCACATTCCAAAGACTCCACTTCCAACACACAATCCCCAATTAGTCGAAAGTCACCCAGACAGCCAGCCAGAGTTAAGGTCTTCAAGGCCAGAAAGCAACTGAAAGATGTTTTAAAAATGTTTGAGGAAGAGGAAGCCAAAAATAAAGGTGCTCTGTCAGGCCATGTTTCAGCAGACACATCAGATGTTGGGACTGAAGGTGAACCAGAACCTAAACCAGTCGCATTCCTGCAGTCAAGAGAGACTCTGTCTCAGCAAACAGTAGAAAACCCTGACCCAGGGGAATGGGACTTTCCTGATGAAATGGCACAGAGACCAAATGATGTGTATAATGGATTGACATGCGCAAATGAAACGACTGAACAAGTGGAGACTCCTCAGCTAAACTTTGCTGAAGAAATTGATAATGATTTTGACTTTTTAGATGAGTCCAATTTACAAACTAGTAGAACAGATAGAAAAGACAGAGTTCAGTCATGGGTAAATGAAGTGGCTGATGCACTGTCTGACTTGGACTCTCATGAGAGCCATAGTAAAGATACTGTGAGCAATGATAGAGATGGTGTAGAGAATTCAAATATCACTACCTTCTCTGACAATTCAAACTGCAATGGTGGAACAGAGAGTAGTGACTTAAGAAACAGGAAGAACAATCATGGTAATGACAGCACAGGGAGCGATAAATCGAGGACAAATGTGACGAATCAGAATGACAAACCACTTACTGATTTGAGTTCAAATCAGTTGAGGGACACTCCATTAGTTAGTACAAGTCCACATTTACTGTTATATGATCAGCAGGAAACCATCTTATGACTAGCACAGAATGTTGTATGTTTGTGTTTGTGCATTTACCTTTTGATACTCATGTACACAAGTTAATTGGTAATGATATTCAAGTGCACGGAATTTCATATACTAGTAGTATTCTAGTGTTTTAAATTTTGTATGTCATTATTATGATGCTCTTAGTTATACTTTCAGCAAAATAGATTGTTTAAGTATGGAGATTCTGCTTGTTATCATCTGTACGTACTTAGCATACAACAATAAGATATAGGGACCAAAATTTAATTATATATTTGTTAAGATATTTAAACTAGTACGAAATGCTGTTTAAATTCATTCCATTTTAAATGATATATTTCTATGTAGAGATTTCCATTCTTCGGGACCATTTTGTTATTTGCAATAAAGAGTTCAGGACTTTTTATACTTGTATAAATAAAGCTTATTCATTTACTCAAAAGTAAAAATATTTCATTACTTTAAAATAAAGGAATATAAACAAATAAGCTGTTTTTATTTCATGTTCAATGGGGTATTACAGAATGATGAATTTTGAAGTTTTTGTCTTCATTTAAATAGTATGATGCATACAGCATGTGCATGTTTTTCATGAAGTTATAAGAATTTGCATTTCTCTATCCCTGCATTTGATATTCTTAATAGAGTAGTCTAGCTTACTAAGAGTTTTGATGAAACCATTTCTGTCACACACCCCCTATCAGCTCACCTGTTTTGTAGAATTTAGCTGTTTGGACTGATCTTTTCTCTTTTCTTATAACACAATTTACAATTACTTGATATGAAATAAAGATCAAAAGACATGAGTTAAGAAGGCAATGATTTTTTTTTTTTTTGTCAAGAACTGACTTTAAATTTTGCTGTCTGCTCTAAGCTCTAAGCACTGCATTTGAAAATGAAAATGATATAGTTTAAACTGATAAATCTCAAGGTAAGATAACACCTTACACATATTTCATAAGCAAAAGTCATTGTGACAAAGTAGATTGAATACAAAAGGCAGACGTCATTATATTAGCCTGGTTTTTCTGATAACTTTTCAAAACTCCTGACCTTAATATATCTTACAGAGTAAACACCTGAAATTTCGGTGAAAAGAATTTTTTGTAATAATTAAAAATATGCATTTTAATCGTTTACTATAATTCAGAACGATTACTTTTATTCAAGCACTATTCGTTTGGATTTACAATTTGTCATTTATATAAAAGCAAGAATGTAAGTGAAACTCATAAGAAATGTCAAACAAAAGATATTTGAGCTAGCAGGTGAAAGATTTATTTTAAGGGAAATTCGGAAAGACTATTAAATGGCTTTCTCTGATTTTTTTCTTTTGGCCTTAACTCTTGCATACAATTCCTTTTTGTCATTGTTTGAAATCATAGGCTATTGTTAATCGTTAACAATCCACTTTCTTCAATCACTGAAACTTGTAGCAGATCCAATGCAACAATAGTGTGTACTAACCCAAGTATTCCCTATTTTCAAACTAGTTTGGTCATAGTAAACCATCAATTTCATTAACCTTCATCCCAATTTATTAAATACATCTTTATGATATTATATTGTAAACTGAAGTTAACAACCCTTCAATTAAGCAACTATTTATAAACATCATATAGTCATGAGAAGTGCCAACAGAAATTGGTTTCGATAATAAAATATTGAATTGAGAGGTATGATGATTTAAATCATCTAAATTGAATTAGAAAACAAAAATACTTACTGCCTCAGTAGTGAACTAGTTGAAAGGACTTTGTTGTATCAAGTTGCTAATTTCAAGACTTATTTTACTATTATAAAGCATCTGTAGCCATTGTTTCATTATCTATTCCCCCAATGTCCTAGAATGGCAAAAGTTTAAATGTTTATGGTTCTAATGAAAACAGCCGTATGACCCATATCTTTTTAGCCTTGGGATTATTCAACACCTTTATTGCTGACCAGATCACATTGGTTTTTTAACCATGCCTGTTTCAACATTTTTCATTTTTCACTATTTCTTTTAAAAAACAGCAAATTTTACCAATATTCAAAACAAACAAGACGTGCATTATCACAAACTAAGTTACAAACAGAACTTCAATATTTAGAGAAGAAAAAGAAAGTAGTAAGATTGTGTTACTGTCAGCACAACTGTCACAATTCTCACCACAACACAATTATACCATTGGTTTTAGATCCAAAGTTGGTCAGCTTCTTCACTGTCAAATTTCCTTATGTTAAAATGAAGAAATTGGCACACTGTGGATCTGATTCTTGGGGTAATGATAGTTTCATAATGCATCTTGATGTTGCACTGTTCCCATTGCAATAAACTTCAGTGGTAGAATGTCACTAGTGTGTTCTAACCCCTATCTTCTGCAAACAGTGTGATCACAGGAGGCAGTTTATAGAGCTATAGATGATCAGTATCTAGACAAGGTGAGTTTCATGTTGAAATATCCATTTGAATCCCATTTGACATACTCTTTCCACCCATTACCCCCACCCCAACATCAATAAACTGCATATAGATTTATTTTTAAGTGATAACAACTGTTTATTTTGGCCAAAAAATGAATTTTCGTGGTGTAAAGGACAATTTTTCCAAACTTACCAATAGTAAATGAATCCATTCCTACATTCAAACTAAGTAAGTCCCTGTTTTTTTTTTTTTTTTTTTTTTTTTTTAATATAATCTCTTAAGAGATCATTACAGAGTGTAGCCAACTATGGAGGTCATGTGATGTGATAGCAAACACAAATTCCAAAATAATTGTGTTAACTGCATTTTGGTGGTAAAATAGAATTTATAATATTTCTATGAGTTGTTTACAATGTATTTATTGTGAAATATGGATATCTTACGAATGGTTCTTATCCCTTTCAAGTGACCTTAAAAGGAACTAATAAATTGATATTTGTGGGAGAATGAAAATATATGCAAACCCATGCTAATAATAAATACTTTTAAATATTATTTAGAAAGGATGTGCATCTTTCCTCCATGTTTGTTAATCACAAAATTAAAAAAGTAAACCCTCTAGAGAAAAATCAAGTGATAATGAGAAATTTTTAAAATCCTTTTGTTAGTAAAATCACTTCTTTGAATTGAAGATCTTACGTTGGTACGTGGATAATATTCTCCTCGATTTGAAACTTATTAAATTAACTTATTAAATTATCCTTTCTCCCTTTAAACCTTTAATAATTTTAGTTTTAAAACCTTGTACATTTTAAGAAAATTTTGCCCATGAGTAGTGCATAAAAAACAGAATTCTGCACAGTTGACGGAACAATAAATGCCTTTGCAACTATTCTTAAAAGTTAATTACAGCATTGTAGGTGATCAGCATGGCATTCAATATGATTCATTGCACATGTATAAAACTCGGTAGCTTTTTTAATGAAATTAAGTTTTTGTTTGATGTTGCATGTGTGTACAAACTTGAAGTTTATTGGCAATATCTTCAATTTATATTCTTATGTTGCATGATATTCTTTCCCATTGCATGCAGCAATTCCAGTGTTCTCCAAACTACTTGAGGATGTTGAGGTTCTTGTAAGACATTCATTCACACTCTCAGCAGAAACAACTCGCCCAAACCTCCAGGTAAAATGGTACCTGGATGGAGAGTTGATATCTCGGTCAACAAGCAAGTACAAGATCTTCAGTAAAGGATGCATGCACTCACTGAGTGTGCATGATGTTGATTTGGATGACGAAGGAGAATATGCATGTTTGGTTCAGAACCTAAAAGGCAGGACTTCATGTTATGTTACTGTCTATGGTAAGTGACAATTATTACAGCAATATGCCAGTGCCACAAATATTATGTCTGTCTTGACATTACCACATGCTAGTTTAATTTCAGCTTTGCTAATGAAAATATCAGTTACATGTAGATAGTATATCAATAAGTGATATATTGAAATAATCAAAATTATTTCAGAAAACAGGTAAGTGCAGCTTACCTAGTGGACAGTATCTTGTGTGTACTTAATGTACATATAGTCATTCAATTATGCTTTTTACTTGCAGAAGTCCCAGCTGAATTCATTACCACACTTCCAGAAGAAAGTGAGGTTACTGAAGGTCAACATTTGACCTTGACCTGCGACATCAGCAAGGAAGATGCAGAGGTCACTTGGTTCAGGGACAAAGAAGAAATTAAACCCACTGAAAAGATTGAGATCAGGAAAGAAGGCACAAAACATGCTCTTGTGGTACATGACATGTCAGTAGATGACGAGGCTCAGTACACTGTCAAAGTCGGTGATCAGGAAAGCACTTCTGCTGTGTTTGTCCATGGTAGGTTCAAGGAAACATTTGTTTAAGGTTAAGAATTCCCTTAAATACGTAATGTTATATTTGTTGTATTGATGTTTCTTTTGATGGTCATGATAAGGATAAATGGAAAGCAGTAAAACTCTATTTAATTTCATTATTTACATTGTTCAGTGGTCAAGTTATAACTTCAGTGTGTGTGTGTATATATATATATATATATATATATATATTTTTTTTTTTTGCATTTGCAGAGCTTCCTGCCGAGTTCAGTGCTCCCCTCCAGGACACCACAGTCCAGGAGACTGGTGAAGTCACCCTTGAAGTTGAACTATCCAAGGAGGATGCCAGTGCCACCTGGGTGTTGGATGGAGAAGAAGTACAGCCAGATGAGAGGCACACTATTGAGGCTGATGGAAAAATACGAAGACTTAGTATCATAGATGTTGTACCTGAAGATGCAGGTTCATATGCTCTCAAAGTTGGAGATAAGACCACAACTGCCCAGCTTTTTGTGGAAGAGATCCCAGCAGAAATTACTCAACCTCTCAAAGACTTAACTGCAAAGGAATCTGCAGTAATAAAGTTGGAGGCTGAAGTATCAAAGGAAACTGCTGAAGTCAAGTGGCTTAAAGATGGAGTTGAAATTCAGGTTGATGAAAGGCATGATGTGGAAGCTGAAGGGAAGATTCGTAGGTTAAGCATCAGAGATGTTCGTTCAGATGATGAAGCAGAGTATACTTTGAAAGTTGGTGACAAGGAATCAACAGCCAAAGTTTCAGTTGAAGAAATTCCAGTGGAAATCACGCAACCCCTCAAAGACATATCTGCCAAAGAATCTGCAAACATCACACTACAAGCTGAAGTATCCAAAGACACTGCTGAAGTCAAGTGGCTGAAAGATGGGATTGAAATTCAGTTGGATGAAAGGCATGATGTTGAAGCTGAAGGCAAGATCCGTAGATTAAGCATCAAAGATGTTAAGTCAGATGATGAAGCAGAATATACACTCAAAGTTGGTGACAAAGAATCCACAGCCAAAGTTTCAGTTGAAGAAATCCCAGTGGAAATCACTCAACCGCTCAAAGACATATCTACCAAAGAATCTGCAAACATCACACTGCAAGTTGAGGTTTCTAAAGAAACTGCTGAGGTCAAGTGGCTGAAAGATGGAGTTGAAATTCAGTTGGATGAA